CCAGTAACGAGTTGTTATGGCCAAACAAATATATATATTATATATATAGTATATAATATAATATGTAAAACTATTATATTTTTTGAAGTGCGAACTGGTGTAATTGATGCTATTAATCTAATCAAAAGAAAATGACGTAGTGTATAATTTTTTTTTTATCTTCTAATTGATTTTTAATATCCAATTCCAAGACTACTTAAACATCACGTCTTCTTCTTGCCCCAAAGAGTCGCAAGTTTTCCAAGCATTAATTTATTCCGCACAAAAAGTGAAATGGAATCAAAAATAATTCGAAGTAATTAAGTTCAATTAGGAATCTCATTTCGAACTTGACTTCTTTTTCGAGTGCAACAGAAAACAGAAAAAAAAGGAAATAATACCGCATGATCTCTTGATTGTTATTAAGCATTTGCGGGTATATTTACGACTTCGGTGCAGGGCTTAAATCGGAATCGGCGGAATTGCGACATTCAAAACGCGTTGCAGATAAAAACTGGCGCACATAAAAAAATGCGAATGGCTTTCGCTGCGATTTTATTTATTATTTTTTTTTTTTTTTGTCATGTACAAATACGTGGATGTGTATTTGCAATTATTAATGCATATTCCATACATTGTTCGGCTTGAAATTTTTTTAAATGTTTTTTTTATTTGAATTTTATGTGAAAAAAAAGAGGTAAAAAAGTAAATTTTTCTGTTTGATGCCAATTTTTCCGACACTGCACATAGTAAACCTCTCAGTGTTTCCCACTAGTCTAATATGTAGTACCCAGGCTTAGTGACAAAAAAGAAAAAAATAAACGTTGATTTTTTTTTCTCCAGCAATTGCTTTGATTTTACTTGGCACCTCTCTCAACCCAAATTGCTGTAAATTTTATTCCTTTTTCAACTTAAGTTCCCCCATTTGTAGGTTGTTGAACTACAAAGAGGGGCTAACAGCTATGTTCAATTCAAATACAACAAATACAAATGCAAACAATACGGAATAATAAAACCAAAAAAAAAAAAAAAATCGCAGAAATTTAACGAAATTTGAAGAAGAAGAAAAAGAAGAGAAAAAAATACTGCAACGCAAGTTCAAGTGAGTGCGGACAACAAAAATGGAAGGGCAAGAAATGAAAGCTCGTACGAATCTAAAAATTTGTATACATGCAATACACAATATCCATAAAATGCCGGAATGCCACCAGCCACCAGTCACCACTTGCAAGTGCAAGTGGAGGAGCTGAGCGGCGGAGCAGTAGAACTGTCAGCAATGAGCCAACAAAAGAAGTCAGAGCAGCAGCGGCAATATCAATGGACAGAAGTAAATCAGCTACGAATTGCCAGCGAAACTCGCAGTTCGCCATCGAGCGACACAGAAAACTTTGGAATCAAACAATGAAATTAAAAGAATTTGCTAAACTTATAGTATCTTTGTAGGTTGCATTACGGAATGTGAGTTTAGAAGTGACTACTCCATGCCATTGGAGTAATAAACTTGGATTATTCAATACTTAACTTGTTGACAAGAACCGCACCATAGCACAATGGTCAAGTGCAATTCACCATAGGAAAAAAATCGCAGAAGTGAAAAAAGTATAAGAAGAAACCGCTTCAAAAATAAGCGGTTCAGTAAAAGTGAAAAAACGGTATTTAGAATAATTAGTTGGAGAGATATCGGGAATGTGCATAATGGGTTTTACATCACAAAAAAACCAATCGATAAATCATTTAGTACATTAATAGAATATTAATGACGTTGAATATGATTTGTTATAATACAGACTTTAATGATTCGTTAGATCTCCCACTAAAAAAACCTCAGCTTTGTTCTACAGCAAAATGAGGCCTTAACATAATGTAGTGATAAGGACAAATAAACTATTTACTCTTAACGTAATGTTTGAAAAAGCCAACTTGAAGTCACCAGTGGTTACTTAAAGTGACGCACTGATACTGACATTTTTAAGTTACAAACCCCTTTTCTAAAAGAAACTCAGTATTAAACCAACATATTCCATAGCCATGGAGGGACAGAGTCTTATTATATTATAGAGTCATTAAATAACTGATCCCATCATTTACGATATTATATTGACTAATTGGCATTGATTTCTGTAATACCAGGTTTCTAACACTATTTTGCTTTTACTTACCTATTACTCTAGCATACCATAACAATGATCTCAAGGTCTCTATAAGAAACTCAGTATTGAACCAATGTATTCCATAGACACAGACGGCTAAAGTCTTATTTTATTATACAATCATGAATGGTTCCATCATTTACGAGATCATATGTAGGCTTATTGGCACTGATTTCTATAATACAGGCTTCTAACACTATTTTGTTTTTACTTACTAATTGCTATAGCATATCATATCAATGACCCAATGCTTGGTGCTTAACCGCCTTTTTAATAAAGATATGTACAGAAGTGTTCCGCTATCAATAACAGTACTGTTGTGTACATCTTTACTGTAAGACAGAAAGATGTTATATAGCATCGATAATAACATAGCTATAGATGCAAGCTGTTGCAGCTTTTCATTAATTGTAATATACAGTATACAGAACATGGCAATAAATATCTTTCATTCTCAAAGAAGATTATATTAAATAATTTTTATTATTGGCTACTTTGAAAAACTTCAAATTCTGTAATGATGCTTCTAAAAATATCTGTTCTCTTATTATCTGACCTCAAAATATAAAAATGATGTATACGAAATTTAAATTAGTGTGAAAATTAGGTAAATACATTATTTCTCCACATGCTACTGGATGGCAATATTATCTACACAGCTACTCACATAGATATATATACATACAAGTATAAATAAATTAATATAAACAAAAACTTAATTAAACACAATGAATCTTTAATTGTTTATCAATGAGAAAGTAAAGACTGAAGAGGCTTCCAGAACACTTTTGTTTGCATTTAACATATTTTTAATTCACTAAAATTTTTAATTTTATCCATAAACAAATCCAGGTTTTCTCCTTCATCAGTTGGCGTACAAAATTTTATTGAAAAGTTCACTTATTTCCATATCGAAATTTATTGTTTAGATATTTAAACAACATTGTAAGAATATAACCCATTTAAACACTCAAATATTTTATTTATATTTTTCATATGAGAACCAACTTATTTTGTTTACAATTTCAATAAATTTTATATATTTCATATATACTTTCATATCTAATATGTACATTTTATCTCATATTTTGTATTTAACATATACAATAGGTATGAGATATATTTTTTAAACGTTTATTTTAAGTTTTAAAAAAATTATTTTAAGTTACAACATATTATTATATCATATATTAATTAATATTATTGTCTATTAATCATATATATAAAAATATATACAGTGATTGCAAAGTGAGGAGCAATGCGAAAAATTGGTCAGCTGTTTTTCGCGTGTAATATCAATATTGTGCGTCCAAAGCTGCCACAAGCGTTTACCTCGTTTCCTAATAACATTCCGTAACTGATTTGTGATGCTTAATTTGTTTACAGGAAAAGATTTCTATTTATTATAATAGTTCAATGAATAATAATTTTTTTTTTTTGATTTAATTAACAATGGAGAGGTTTCGAAGAGTAGTGAACTACAACAAAAAAAATCTTTTTCATCTTATTGTAATTAATTGATTTTAATAAACAATTATATTTAGATATATGAAAGTTCTAGATGATAAAAGCTCTGAAATCTATAGCACCAATTTATTAACCTAGAGTAATATGATTTTTAATATCAATTAGTATTAAATGACATTCCAGATAAAAAGTGCAACCACTATATTGACCACACCGGTTGTTCTTCTACCAAATATATGATCCTAGCGAAAACAAAAAGACGATTTTAATATCTTTATTTTATAGAAGTAATAAGAATTTATACTTGACAGATGTCATGTCTTTAAGGTATTTCTAAGTCTACTTTTACCTACTAAATATACTGTTCTATGCGGAAACCTCATTTCTTTAGCTTTACTATTGTTAAGATATAAATAATGAGTATTACCGCTTTTAATGTAAATATTAAACAAGCATAAAGCTTCTAAAATACTAACGTATCCCTCTCTTTCTATGTGAATTGATCGCAACTATTGAATACAAGCGTAATCAGTTTATAAAAGTTTATAGTTTGTGCCAGATACGTTATAAGACCTTGCAGATCTTTACAGTGCAGAACAGAAATATGTTAATGCTCGTATTGAAGATTTTATGTTGTGTACGGTATGAGAAAGCATATAAATACCAGGTTTTTTCCTTATATATGAAATGCATTGTTAGGCTTAAGTCCACAGAACATCATAATATGCTGCTTTGCTTGCATATAAATTCAATACATTGCTCATTGTGTAATCTAGACCAGCCTGAGGACAAAATACATTTTATCGGGATTATGCACTAATAGTTCCAGTTCAAGTGTTATTCCATACCAAACATATGACATATACCTACATATACATATCATATATATGTATGACAGCAGCATTTAGAATCTACTAAGTGATTTTTGAAGAGGACATAAGATAATATCGTTAGAAGTAGCTTCGTTGACCTTTGACAAAATATTAAATGTTCACACAAACTGACTGTATATGTATCTGACTAATATTTTGGGTTTTGTTATGTAGGTAAGACCTTAAGATAGTTTAACAACCAATCGGTATTGAGTTGGTGGTATTATTCCCGTATTTATTATTGTTTCATCGAATTACGAGAGTTCATATTTATCTCAAAGTGATGAAAAATATTTTATTGTCTTATTGTGCCGTCTTAAAGCAAATCTCTAAATTAAGATTACCCTATACCATGTGAAAAGACTATTGCACACGCATTTTGTTCTTATTTAAACCTTATATTAATTTCTTTAAGGTCTGTAAAATTATGTTTATAATATATTTAATATATCGCTCATATATATTAAATACATTTTTTTTAATAATTAAAAAAATGAATAAGATATATTAAAATTTGTTTACTCTTTTTCAGGTAAGAAACTGAACGACGATGAAGACATCATGTATCCAAATTCCGGTTATTATTATTGTAAGTTCAAACAAATATCTTATTGCACTTTTAATCGATAGCAAATAGCAATATATTATTAATATAAAATTAGTTTAATAAAAAATAAATAGAAATATTTTTAATTGCTCACAATTACTTAATCTCAACACTTTATTACTTTAAGTTGCCTAGTCACAACAATCTTAAAATACCTTAGAATCAATTCATCTTATAGATAATTTGGAATAATTGGTTTCCCCTTCCAATAATTTCAGCAGCCGTCTTCTCTTAGTTTAACCGCAAATGCTATCTATTGATATTGTCAATTCAGAGAAAAAATAAAATCTTTTGAAATTTAAATGTCAAACTTGTACGTGTGATTAATATTGAAATTTTGAAAACCGGTCTCCAAGTTTTAAACTAGAATTTCCAAAACACAAAACAAAGAAAAAATCTTTTTATTTGTTTTGTTTTCTTTTCTTTTCTTTTATTATTGAAAATTGAACAAAAGTAGCTTAAAAGGCAATTTACTTTGCCACACCCACAGCTTCAAAAAATACTAGTTAAATCCATGAAAGGTAAATCGTAGCTACAAAGTACAATAGTTCAAGTGTAAATATTTAAGTTTGGATTTAAAAAATATAAATAATATTATAATAAAAATAAAATAGACTTCTTAGCAAATGTTTATTAACTCATCGTCCGTTCCTAGTACCGTTCAGTTTTTTTTTAAATAGTTTTCAAACTATTATTTTCTGGAAAATGATGTAAATCATAGTTTAAGGCTACTTTTATTCCAGTAAACTTCTTCTCATTTTCAATACATTAATTATAATATTGACGTTAGCAATCACTGGATCCCGTTAAACAAACAATTGACTCTAGTTGCATGTAAACCTTTTTATTGCTCTAAATTCTAGCAATCGCCAATATACAATTCTCTCTAATAATAATAATGTAACACAATTTACTTCCCAACTAGCTGTCAATCTTAGAAAACTATTCCTAAGATTACTTTAGTTCTAAATTCATAGCATTGCCGTCCTCCTAAACTTGTTCGCCCCGAACAAATGTTACCATATCAACACGCAAACTGTTCACAGATGTTAGGAAAAATTATATACAGTAGTCTTAGGACCACTGTATATAATTTTTCCGTATAGTCCGTATATAATATGTTTGAACTAAAAGTGCCAGACTTAGAACTCTGTTTTTATTCCTACAAAAGCTTCTGTGGTGCTCTTATCTTGTATATATCGGTGTACATATCTAGCACAAGCTCATAATTCAAGCCGAACGTGAATAAAGACTTTTGACTCGTTATCAAACTCCTAGATCTTAATATTACTCATAGTTGGTCATTCCACATCTTTATAATGAAGACTTCATTTCCTTTTTCAAATTTTGTGCTTCAATATATCCAAGCTATTTTCTGTTGTGCTATCTATATGAGTAGTCCAGGCTTCAATCCAGGTGTAATAGTGTCGTTTTATATGAAACTGCGTTTACTTCTCTGTACCTACTCCTGAAGATAATCAATTAATTAAATCAATTAATAATAAAGTGAGCTTTACTGTTAAAAAATAACAAAATAAATCATTTAACTAGTGAATTACTAGAAACTGATATAATCAAATATACATATTTACATATACATATAGATATATTTATATTACATATACATACATATATATATTTATATGCAATATATATTGGTTATATGAGCTAATAATATTTTCCCATCTGTTCTTGGTTTATTCAATTATTACTGAGCTAATTAACAATGAGTCAAACTAATTAATATTAATTAATAAACATAATTATTTCTTTTTTTAATTTTGTTATTAAAATGACACATATCGTTTCCGATGACAGCAACAATTTACATCTGTCCATTGAGTTAGTATCAAATTAAACTATGAAGTCGATTCGTTCAATTAAACTTTAAGTGAAACTTTAACAAAATTTCAGATAACTTCAATGAATATTAAAATTTTTAAGAGTGTCTTCAAAATTAGCATATCTATCTATAGGCGACTATACGCGACTATATCTATAGGAGACATAAAAAATTCATGCTAACTATAAATCTATAAGAGTATGACTAAATTCAAAATAGTTAACACATGAATAAGAACACTTCAAATTGAAAGTTAGTTCCATACTAACTACAGCACAAGAAGAAAGAACTATTTTAATGTAAAACTACATATACATAAATAAACAATAAATATCCAATACAATTGAAAACTATCTTTATATTCCACCGCTCTTTAAAAATATTAATTTATATCTCATATCTGAACAGCATTATAGCGAAATATTTATCAATTTCATCTTTAAAAAAATTCTCTGATAAATCGATGTGGTGTGAAAGAAATAATGATTTTAGAAGATGAGAAATTAAACTTTTCTCGATTAATATTAGATCTGTACAATGACACCTGAAGAACCCGACAGAGATCCTAAAAAAAATAAAAATAATTATCTTAGAAGAAACCCTTGAAATGATGAAAATATTGACCAAGAATTAAATAGATTACAGCAGAAAACATAAAGACTATGAATATTACAACTGTGGAATGATGTACCAATAAGACACCTGAAGGACTCGACAGAAATCTTTAAAATAAAAAATAATTGTCGTGGAAAAAAGCTGGAGACAATGAAAATATTCAGCAAAAATGAAATGATTGCAGGAGAAAACATAAGGACGAAGAATATAAGAACTGTAGAATGATGTACCAATAGAACACCTGAAGGACTCGACAGAAATCTTTAAAATAAAAAATAATTATCGTAGAAGAAAAGCTAGAGACAATGAAAATATTCAGCAAAAATTAAATGATTGCAGGAGAAAACATAAGGACGAAGAATATAAGAACTGTAGAATGATGTACCAATAGAACACCTGAAGGACTCGACAGGAATCCTTAAAATAAAAAATAATTGTCGTAGAAAAAAGCTGAAGACAATGAAAATATTCAGCAAGAATTAAATGATTGCAGGAGAAAACATAAGGACGAAGAATATAAGAACTGTAGAATGATGTACCAATAGAACACCTGAAGGACTCGACAGAAATCCTTAAAATAAAAAATAATTGTCGTAGAAGAAAAGCTAGAGACAATGAAAATATTCAGCAAGAATTAAATGATTGCAGGAGAAAACATAAGGACGATGAATATAAGAACTGTAGAATGATGTACCAATAAGACACCTGAAGAACCCGACAGAGATCCTTAAAATAAGAAATAATTGTCGTGAAAGAAAACCTAGAGACAATGAACGTTAAATCTGTTGATTGATGTTTGATGTTTGAGAAACATAGCTGGAGATATTTAATAAGGTGGTCATGTCCCGTATCTGACTGTAGTGCTTAAAATAATAACAATTGTTTTATATTAGGAAATTGTTGAAATCGTCTTATTCACATTTACTGGAACCATTAACACCTATTATATAACTCTATTGTTTTATTTCGAAAACGAAATTTATTTCCTTAATCATTTAATGCAAATTGCTTTGTTATTACGCAAATTTTTCATCGTTTGAATAAAAACAAGTAACCGCATACTTTCACTTAATAAGTCATAAATTAATATAATGCAAATCTTTAAGGTTGCCTTTCTGGTTACTGCCAATTAAATTCAGTTGCTGACTGTATTGTTGCCAGTGGCTTTGTTTCTTCTTTGGGCTTAAATTAAAGACTCCGCCTGCTTGTACTTGATTCATTGTACTTGTTAAAGAAATCGACCTTCACTTCAAAGATACTTACAAGTCTCACAAGCACTCAGTGCAAATGTGGGATGCCTACCATAGTAACTTGCCTTTTACGGTAAAACTAATTTTCTTTACAAATTAAACATTGCACAAAAAATTTGTAATCGAATTAAGGCACTGAGAGAAAACGATGGAAAAGCACTGCAAAAGGGGCACAAACAAAAGTGGAACAGAAAACCAGATAATGCTAAGAATCTATAAAAGGCGTATTCAGTTTATATGGTATATATTTTTTTCCTTTTAATCTTTTTCATAACTTTTTATCACAAAAACAATACTAACCCAAAAACAAATAAAAAAAAAAATAAAATTTGTATTTGTTTTATACAAATTCTGCACTTACGAGTAAACCACTACGCCTACAATTAATTACTACTAATTTGTAGGCAAAAAAAAATAAAACTATGTATGCATGTATGCACATAGATATACATACGTAAATATGTATAATATTGCGTTATTAAATTTTTTGAATAAATTAACTTCCGTTAAGTGTGGATGACTCATGGTAAGTGAACGTGCAGCGAGTGCAATTGCACAGTTACATTTGCAATAGAAATTACATCAGCAGCTGAAGGCCTAACACAAATTTTCCCCTCCCCTTCCCCTTCCTCTTCCCTCCTCTCCTCGCCTCTCCTCTCCTCTCCTCTCCTCTCCTCTGCTCCAAAATAGAGCAATTAACACATTAATTATGCAAGATTTTCAAAAAAACCCATTGGCAATATGAAAAGACCTAATAAATCCGTGACAAAAAAAAAAGAAAAACCGAAAAAAAGCCATCCAATGAAAACACGACTCTGGCACAGAAAACTCGTAAACCAAAACGTAACAAAAACTTTATTAGCTTTTCACTTTGGTGCACGTTGTTCATTTTCATTTTCACAAGTTTCCTCTTGGCGAAAAATCGCTGAGAACTCAGTTTACTTGGGCGACTCCTCGAGTCACTTAAACTTGCTAAGCAGCGGAAAGTTTCAAGTGTTGTGATGTTGAAAAAAGAAAGAAAGCAACAAAATAAAAACACTGAAAAGTTTTTCATCGTTCACGGCCCAGTACTGCGGAGCTGCGAAAGAAATTACTAAGAGCAGAAGTCATAAGCGCTACAAATTTATGTTAAATAAAAAGCCCAAACACCGAGTGGCCTTAATTCACTTAATACCAAAATTAACTTCTTCTTATAAAGACATTCTTAGTACATCACAAAAGTACGGAGCTTACCTGCAAGGAGTTTGTGAGAAGTGCCTGCAGTAAAGGAACCG